GATTCGACAGGTGAATATAATCTTCCTTCTGACCTCCGGATAAATAGACCCTCGTTTCATCTAGCCGAACTAGAATCCACGTCTCACTATGAGATAAATCCATTGGCGACAGGTATTTCACGGCTACGACAGCCGGTCTTAATCGGTTTGAGTCGGACCTCTGTCAGCCAACCAACTGGGCACCGAACAGATCGGCTTAACTCGAGCTTAACTACGGCAACCGAACTCCGGGCCGAGTTTTCATTTCCTGAGATCAGAGATGATCAATCAGGCTTGGCCGATAGGCCTCGAGTAGGACCGCTTCTCTTCCATCTGGCCATTTTCTTCATTGTCTCTCTGGCATTTGCGACAGCTGGAACCTGTGACAAAAGCGTAAAGCGTCTCCTTCTGAACTCCATCTTCCGGTTAGTTATGACCGTATATCTCACAAATACTTATACTTTCCAAATTATTTGTATTGCAAGTGACTTTAATTATTCATATACATCATAGAGACAGACTAGAATGTGCCGATTTTTGCTTTAGTCTAACCGCTTCCAGGATACACTAAGGGTTTTTCTTCCATCTTAGGACGGATTAAATCCACTTCAGGCTTCACCTGTAATTGCAAAGGCCAATTTTTCGACAACTTGTCGAGTCTTGCCTAATGACGCCAACTTCGCCCAACCAAATGTATAGATTGAACTGGATAGTATATTTATTCTTCTTTATCCATAAAGAATTCAAGTATATACATACAATTATATATATATTTATATATACATAATATTTCAGGTAGCTGAATTGTAACTATTTGGATAAGGCTCAAACTAGACCTAATAGTTTAATTGACGAAAGAAGCTTGATCGCATTCACTATTTACAAAAATCTAATCATAATCCACCCCTAACGGACATTGTGTGATGTAATGCTCGGAGTATGCGTCTGCGTAATGACATTCGTATCTGGATTAAACTTTTGTGTGAATTGTTTTAATGTTCTATTGCGGAATTAAAGAATTGCCAGTAGGTACACGTAATGATTCTGACATCGCTTTGCCATTTACATGAGCTGCTGACACATCCATACTGTGCTTGAATCTACTTCATATTCTACATATTATTTTGATTCAATAAATCATCGCGCGCATTATTGTGCTGATCCCGACATTCAAATGCATGGGTTCTGGTAGAATACGATCTCCAGCATTTATCATTAATAAATTCAGCCAATAAACTTCGGTATGAAAACCAAGATTATGTGATCCTTTGTTCGGCCGAAGTTCCCTTTCGCTTTTTGCACCCCATACTGCGCTTTCTGCTATTGTTATTATGTGTTCTTCCGGTGTTAAGTCCCTGTGAATAGTTGTAGTCCTATTCTCAGTATGGCGCTGCGCACTTACGAGGCCTACTAGAGCAGTTGCATATACAGATATGTGCAATTTTATTCTCACTTTAATTACAACCAATCTCAGTTTTAAACTTTTATATCTATTGTGGGACCTGTTTGATTTATGCTTTGCCAGGCGCTTGTAGTGTAATCATCCGAGAGGGAGCCAAAAGATAATTTGATTTTGCAGATACATTTCATTTTGCCAATAAGTATGCCCTTATGCAGGGCGGATTATAATTTCGAGCACAATCAGGTTTAATGACTCTCAAGGGGTCGGATAGTGCTTTAGAAGCTATTGCGTGACCAATTTGTATACGATTACGCGATGTATGCTTTATCTTCCTATTCATAATTATGCTTACTCCGAGATATAGACCATTTTAGGGGAAGCTTTTGTGAAATCTAACGTTATCGTTAGACCTTCTACACATTTCTTTGTGGAGACTTCAATCCTGCACTGACTCAAGCAGGTTTGGCTAATTCATGTTCTTCAAAATCTATTGAAAGTTTCGTAGAATATTCATGATGCTTTAATTAAAAGGGGACGCCCGGAGCAAAGATACTATTTTCAGCAAAGAAAAAAGTGTCTTGCTCTTGAGGCGTAAGGTGAAGATGAGAGCAAATAGAGTCGTTGCTGAAAATATCAATGGAACCCATCCCAGCCAATCATAGACAGTAGCCATCACATTTTTAATGAGCTGCAGTCGCTACATTTATGAAATGGTACTTTGGTCGGCAAATTGATCATAGGCTAAACATTTCACATGAAGACAATTACAACCCTTGCCTAATGAGAAATGTGTATCCCATGTTCCATCCAAGTGTCGCACTAATAACAATCTAGTTTTGGCTACTATCACTTTTCTACTCATTAATTATTCAATTGCTTCATTTTTTAATGGCAATGTTACTGGTGATGCTGATTATAATCATATCACTATTTTTATGATTGTGAGCATTAAAAAAGTAAGTATCCTTTTCTCTTTCTGTTTCATTCATTTTTTGTTTTTATCATTTTACTTTTGCCAACTGCTTTTATGTTCTGCATAGGCGGCATCTTGCCACGTCTTTTGTGCCTTTGGCCCCAGCGTCCCAACATGAATTCTCCTTCAATTCATTTTCCTGCCTTCCGGCGTCTCAATTCCCAGCCAGGATGTCCTTCTTCCAAACTAAATGTAATGTACACAATAAGATGGACAAAAAGTACTGTTGTCAACAGAATCAGCAGCACCAAAAGTCATTACTGCTAAAATCGGCCGGACACGTTTTTCTTGGCACCTCTAAGCAATCAAGAGTTGGAGTCAACTGTTCCGACAACCACAGACTAGAAGAACTTTATCCTGCAGGTCGATCTCATGTACACTTGACAGATTGTCATCATGGATGCTGCGACCTAGAACAGAAGAATATAGAATGCATAGAGAAAGCGAAGAGGTCTACAAGTGACGGGACATATTCAGTGACCAACAATTGTCAGATGTGTTGGACTACCCATGGGTCAACCCCTGCACATAATCCGATTTTTTCGCTTCCCTCTGGCTTTAGCTGGTGGGATCCAGGAATCTTCTCATTGCCATCACCGTCACTACAGCCATTTCAGCATTCTTATCCTCCAAACTCATCTCACTTTGCTCCTAGCATACCGAATACTTATTCAAATTGCCCACTACAATTGTTCTCATTTCAGGTAGGTTACACATTTTTTACGTTTATTAAGACTGTCTTTTCCACTTTACGCCACTTGTTTATATCTACCGTCCAATGTAATTATCCATTCCAATTTATTTTTATTTTTAGCAAATCATAACTTCATCATTGCACCTTTTATTAGTAGAACACACGACTACGGAAAAGCCTAGTTTATTTAGTCTTCCTCCGAGCATTTTGATTGTGTTTGAAGCATTCCTGTATGATAATGCTAACCCTAATTGGATCATTTACTTCACTCCTGTCCTTTTCACTGTCTGATACTACCACTTTTTTCTTATCAACTCTCTCATCTATGTATTTGAGTTTTAACTCTATCCTCTATTTCGATCCAAATTAATTTCTTTTAATTAATTTACTTCCATCCATATTTTCTCATTTGTATTCTCCACTTTTCATTTCTTTAGATTAGCGTTTTAACCAGAATTAATCTAGTTTGCTTATCATTTACATGTTCAGAAGTCGGCTCAGACTGATCAGGTTCGTATAGATCAATGGAGCAAGGAGTCTTCCAATAAATGCGACAATGACATCAATCTTGGGAAGTCAGAGGATAGTTATGGAAATACCATCACCACTCAAGCTGCCACTACATATTGTAGACGCAGTCCCTCCTTCCATCACGATGTCATGGTTTCCACTAGCCCGGCCCCTCGGTTACCAATAAGCAATACGCCATTGCCTTCCACTCCGATCGCAGGTGATATTGCCACAGCTCCTACCTTCTTCAACCAAAATGAGTCCCGTCTACTTGACGGATTTACGAATTCTAAAGCTGCTCGAAAAGCAGAAAGTCGAGGACAGACTTGCTTCGGTATGCACACAAGCTGATATAATTATTTCCTATTTGCCTTAAGATTATTAGTGTTGATTGGATCCTCCGTTTAATATTCCATCAAATCTATTTTCCCATAAGTAGTAGCTATCACATTTGGGCTTTTCGTTCATCGTTTGCTCCTCACATTGCCTGGCCCCAACATTTTGTGAATTTTTTATTATTATTCCAACCTGTCAGCAGCCACTATTTTTATAGAAATGTTGGCCAGCTTTAATCTTTTTTCCTTGTGCTTTAAGCTTGAGTTGCCTACGTTGCATTACACTGAATTACACCTAGCCTTTTTCCTCAAAATGCTTTACTATCCATTGCGAATTTTAGATTTGCACATGTCTAGGCTTCATCATCATCACCATCTCTATCAAATGTCATTCAGACTGGCTTGAACTACTTCTATTTTTCTGTGTATTTTATGACTCTGCTATTCGAGCTATGTGATCGTGGAAACATGTGATTCCTTGACTTTCTGTCGTTTGTTTTTGCCTTGGTGAGGTTGAAAATGTATTTCTCTCTTGATAACAAATTATTCTGGAGAGCAGAATTCATTGAAAGTAAACATTGTGAAGAGGCCTCCTTAAAAAGTCTTCTTTTTGAAAAGTACAGATTTATATCTATGTATAAATGCGGTAATCTAGAGTTTTAGTAATCCATTTATGTTCTATCTAGAAATGGCTGCTACTCTGATTTTCTCCCACTATTCTCGAACGAAATTCATAGTTATAGCATGTTTGCTTATGGAATATGTCTATCCTTAAGACAACATCTAACTTCTCTACGGGACAATGAGAAATATTCTTTGGTTTTGTAAGTATTCATTGAAATTGTTTTTTTCTTATTCATTTTACGGATATTTATTTT